TTGCTCTGAAGCAGCAGGGCTCCTTCTGCCAGCTGGCTTACTCCCCGTCCACGGCGCGGTCTCCTCTCCTGCAGCTCCCGTTCAAAGCTCCAGCTGCTCATGGACTTGGCCATCTTTCTGTGTGGTCTCTTCCTCGTCTCATGTTTGCGCCGTTGTCTGACTCTGCACGCAGGAGGATCATTGGCTCTTTTCTCCAATCTTCTTCCCAATCAACTAATAGAGAGTGAGGGGTAAGGAATAATGAGGTTTGCATGCATGCCCCTACTCTCACTAGACATCCGCGCGACGTGTGTTTTGCTCGCGCATGTGTGTGAAGAATACAATGATCTGCAGCTGGGTGATCTTGTTCAAATTTGAGGCCATGAGAGTTCTGCTGATTTTCCTCATATCTTCAAGCTGCTCCTTCAAGATACATAAGAAACAAATCAGAAATTAATTTTAGACGGAAGCTCAATAATAAGATCCTAATTTTCACATCCAAGTTGTCTTTAAAACACAATCTAACTAAATAACCATTTCACGCAGATGTAGTTACTTTACTCTACAGTGTTATTGCTTGCAATCATATTACTTAATGTTGTTTTGTGCGGCCATCAATAAGAAATTTAGACGGACCATGAGCGTAGATTATTAACATTAATATGATGCGTAGACAGCAGTTGAGCATAGGAAGGTCACCAGTGATTAAGGGACCTGAACGATTATTATCCATTTTTTTTTTTTGTTACTTCTGTGTAGTCATCAACCATCAGAGTGCATTCTCTCACATACTATCCAGCCATTGTTAAAACCAAAATCAAGAAGTGGCCATGAATAGAAGGTGATAGACAGATTGAGGATCCAATCACCTGCCAGTCTTATTGTGACATGCTGAGTCAGGTATGTAATGGACTCCATCACATGTTTTCTTTTACCAAAGGGGTGGGTGGGGGAACCTTAATTGAGCTTGACTTTAAAGCACCCAACGGAACGTTTCATGATAAAGTTAATTCTTTTCATCGTAGTCGGGGTCTGACGGGGGTGCTGAGACTAAGGAGCACGTTGATACGACCTCTCGCACAGAGTTGTGGCGCATTTTTACAATATTCGTGAGGTATTTGCTTAACTAAAATCTGCAATAATCTGTCACGAATAATTGCATTAGATTATTCTCCCCAAAATCGCAGCCTAACCAGGATACCAGTATTTATTTAAGGTGGTGAATATGTTCTTAGGTCAGATAAGTTGATAGTGAGAGATAGTGTTCATCAAAGATGTTGCAGACCGCTGTTTTCCGTGCTCCACTCTCCAATTATACTTTTAATTGCAGTGTCTGGATCATAGCATCAGCAGCAGCTCAATATACATTCATCCTCATTCTCCAGATTGCGCTCTCTTCTCTGTCATCTGGTCCAGTTATCTTTATATTTGGTACTTCTGGAATCTGTGTCTGCAGCATGATCTTGTCTTTCTCCATCAGAGATCCCCGGCTCGGCAACTCTTCCTCTGTTCGCCTGTGGTCAAGGAAGAACTAGTCTGTGACGTGGCTTGATGGGAAAAACCATCTTCAATCTAGACCCTGATTTGAACAGAATGTCTAAAATGTTGTTATGTCAAACTTCTAATTTTTCAAATCCAAAGACAAAAAGCTGTGTAGATGCATTCTTTTTATCCATATATTGTTTATTGGTATCATAGATAGACGTATGAGAAAATGGTCGACATTTAACTCTTTCATCCAGTTCTTTTATTATCTCTCGATCTTGGTGCTCGTTGTCCTGTGAGAACAGAAATAAAGTGAGAATTGATAAATAGTGTGGTTTACTATTTAACCTAGCATGTAAGAATTACTCATGCACACTTGCAACCAAAGGCCTATGAGATAACCATTATGTCATTATCACTTATTGTGGCATTTTTCTACATTAGCAAATATCCGAATTTACTAGATACATGAAAATGACTTTTTTCTAGAGTATATATGATATGTTTTTTCCTAAAACATCTTAATATTGCTGTGGTGGTTTTTTGACATGAATCTGGTAGAGCAATTTATAGAATTTCTCATGCCTGGTTTTGACTATGCAAGTGTCTATTTGTATCTTTATGAATGAAAGTCCTGATTCTGTACCTGCATTTCTGCATCACAACGTCAATCCTTCAGCGCATCTCACTGTGGACTGCTAACTCCAGCTGGAGATCCTCTCCTGCAGGGCCTCCCAGCTTACAAACACACAATAAAACAACCGTAAAGGGATTCTATCAATGTCTTGTATAACATAAATATGTGTCCCGGTGCGTCAGGGAACTCACGCAGCATCAGAAAACAAAACCCTCTCTCTTTTCCTCTGTACCCAAATCTCTAAAAACGGGGATACAACAGAGCTGATCCAGATTTTCGTCCGATATGATGTAATATCGGAAATGTGGACCCACAGCTCTATCAGAAACGTTGCTATCAAAAACAATGCCCGACTGTTTTGGACGTAATACGGTCGGTGTTTATATTAGCATCGCTAACACTCAGAGCTAACCTGTACTGGAGAGCATGTGTGTGAAGAAGCAGGAAGTAAAAAGGAACTCACTTGTGGTATAACCGGCAAGAGAGAAAGCCTTTGAGCTCCATACTGTTTCAGAGATAATCCTTGATAATCCATGATATGGCGTTTCATCACGGCAGTATTTAGTTTAGACAGTAGCTGCCGGGTCCCGCATGAGCTCAGCCCCCTCCTTTTTCTTTTTTTAAAGCTTTATACCCAAAATCAGCACTTTTGAAACAGGAAGTGAAATAGAGGGATATGAGGCATGGCTAGAATGGGTGATCTGTTTGGTATTTTGAGCAAAACACTTCATAGACATGTTTTTTATATATCTGAAACCAATGCTATTGCCTAAAAATAGCATGATAGGTGCACTTTAAAACGTCATGCATACAGACAGCGCAGATACCTGAAGTAAAGAAACGGTTTAGAAATAGGCAGATATTCTATGATTTAAAGCTCCTTAAAGTTGTGCTCTACTACTTACATGACTCTTGTCTTCTTTTGTGAGGCTGTTACGTTTGTCAACGGCCTTTGCGTTGGCAGGAGAGGTTCGCATAAGGCTGGAAACAAAAACACATTTTATTATTGAAGAAATGTTTACAACAGTGATACTTAAATCCCTCCTAAAAACGACGTCTACCTATAAACAGAAGAAATAGGTACCGCTGTTGTAAAAGGAGCATTTAGAGGTTAAGCAAGGAGTTCATACATCCGTGACCTTCTCTCCAAAATAAGGTATTCAAACAATGTAGACTATGACAAATTGATTTCCACCATGAAAACAGAGAGTGCGCCCTATGGGCTGCTCCTGAAGTCACGAGTCATATTAACACGTGGAGTACTGACTGAAAAATGCTTAATCAGAGCTTTAAAAAAATCCTACATCCACATATAATGTTAGGGCCATTTAGTGATGCAAGAATCCTAACAGTTCTGCACTTGGGTTATAAACATGTGTGGCACACTCACTGCTGACTGCTGTAATAAGTGAAGCCTACGAATGGCAGCTGGTTGCCCGCGAAGGCCTTTGGTGTGGGGAAGGTCTCCTCCTCCCCCCGGTCCTCCTCTATATCATCGAAGTTACTGGTGTCAACGTCGCTGCTCAGCTCAGGCACTACTGGGGCAGCCGCTACACAGGGCACGAGAAGATGGAATATTAGTTAAGATACAGAATATGAACAGCCACCATTCATTATGGCTAATTATTCAGTGTGTGTTAAAAGCACAGTCAATGATACAAAGATAATGTAAATAACAAGTTTCAGGATGTTTTTTAACACAGTGAGTAATAGGGGAAAAACATTATGTTTTCTGAGTTTCTTTAGATCAATAAAGACGGCGGGAAAATAAGATCCTTCATGTTTTTCACTGTAAAGGCTAATCAAACAGTAATAGGTTAACCCAAATCACATAAGAATTTGACATCTTTTTAACATTTGCAGTATATTAACAGCATTGTATTTGCATGTCATTTTAAACCTACGTCCCTTCCAGATAGATAAGAGACAGCGAGTAAGTGTTTCTCTTTTCAGAGCACAGTTTTTCTGGAGCACAGATCTCTTTAAAACAAAGGAAACCAGGGAGCTAGCAGAGCTGCTCAGCCAGTGGAACGACAGCGGTGGCCCACAGCAAAGTGCTGACTTCAGCCTCGTGAAGTATTACAAAATAAAGCCAATAAAGAACCGACCATAGCTCCTGGATTCAGCCCAACATTTCTAATCTCTTTCTGCTGCAGCGTCAACACTGGTGCATTTACATGTTGCATTGGACTGCTTCCCCCCTGTTGGCCTCAAAAAATGCTGTGCTGCCAATTATTCCTCTGAGCAGGAATCACGTTTAGTCTTGGAGAGGATACTGAATGAATGGCTCGTCTACAAGAATTTCCTGCAACTGTCCGTAGTAGGTCAAATGGAAAACATGATGGCTGGCTTTGTGATTGCGGTAACAGTGAGCAGACAGCCAAATAATATGGGAGGTGTAATGTGCATTGTTAACAGTAAACAAGGCTCCTACTGTCTCTGATGTTCTCCCATGTCCACTGGTCGTTCTTGAAGAAAGGATGCCTCTTGATTTCATCGACACCATTACGGCCAAGTCGAATTTCCCTGTGGGGAACATACTTTTATTATTAACAGTACATTATTTCACAATACCAATAGAATTTCTTTAATTATGCAACTATGCAAAGAAGCACATTTTCTAAGTTATTATGTTGACGTCACTGAAGATTCTTTCCACAGAGTGTTCTCTAAGCCAGGAAACAATCAATGCCTAAACAAGGAAAGGGTTCTAATGATAAGAGCCCACTTCAAGTGGCACCTCAAGTGCTTAGTATGCCACTATCTAACCTGTCAGTCAGGAAAGCACAGATGAGATTCTTGGCATCATTAGAGATGTCGCTGTCGTCGGGGAAGGTCAGGGCATTCTTGTGGTTCATAATTTTGCTGTAGGTCCCCACCAGGGAGTCTGCATAGAAAGGAGTGTCGCCTGTGCACAAGAAAAAAGAGCAATCGATTACGCATGTGCCCACAGGAAGGAAACAGAGAACATACACAGAGTAGGGCTGCTCGATTATGGCAAAAATCATAATCTCGATTATTTGGGTCAATAATTGTAATTGCGATTATTAGATGCGATTATTCATTGACTTTGTAAACATCCATAATGTGAATGTGTGATGATAATGTGTAAACATTTATTGGAGATTTTTTTTTGAACAGTATGTTTTTAACAGTTGATTGCCCTTAACTTTAAGTATAATTCAACTGAAAAACCAAACAAATAAATACCGTAATTTTCGGACTATAAGGCGCACCTGAATATAAGCCGCAGCAGCTAAATTGAATGATGTGTACATATATAAGCCGCACTGGACTATAAGCCGCAGGTGTTTTAATGTTTAATCACCATATGTAAGGGTTCGTGCACAGAGGGGATTGTCGGGAAAGAGATGGCTGTTTGAGGAAGCTCCCATTTATTAACATTTCAACAAACCAGTTGCATATTTGCATAACGTATTCAAGTGTTACCATTTAGTGCAATAGTAGCTACAGAACATGTACTGTGCTGTGTAAACTGTACTGTATCACATAGCGTTTCAGACACACAAACTTTTCAACTTTCAAACTTAAACGGTGCGCTCCCAGCGCACGTACCGGCAGTGATCTACAGCAGTGGTTTTCAACCAGTGGTACGGGGACAAACTGTCTCGCTCTCGTAATGTCTGTCTGTCTTGCTCTCGTTCTGTCTCTCGTACCACTCTCGGTTCCACTTTTACTTTTGCGCGCTACCTGTCTCACTCTTTTCCGGCCTCCAGCTTTTCCTGCTGGAACCCGCCGCTTAAAGGTGGGGGGCGCGGACCGGCCATAGAGCCCATAAAGTTAAAGGTGGTGGACTGTAACCTGTAAAATCCATAGATTTAGGAGGTCCCCTAGTGGCCGTTAGCTGTAAAAATCCATAGATTAGCCGCACCGTTATATAAGCCGCAGCGTCGAAAAATGGGAAAAAATGCGCGGCTTATAGTCCGAAAATTACGGTAATATAAAACCCACACTGCTCAAACTTCGTTAATTTTCCTAAAATTGGTATATTTATCTTTTTTTTCTTCTTTCATTAACATAAAATAAATCTCACGTACCCCTTGCAGTACTCCAACGTACCCCTAGTGGCCCGCGTACCCCCATTTGAGAACCATTGGGTTAGATATCACTGATACCAATCACAGGGACTAGCACAGTCAAAGGGATTCCTTACCTCATCTTCCAGCCTTTCTTTCTGCTTCATCAGCTGCTCCATCTTCTGCACGGACTGCTTGAGGTCAAACTCCAACATTGAGCACTGCTTCTCCACCTCCACTATCCGGCTCTCCGCTCGCATCCTCGCTCCATTCTCCTCAGACATCTTCGACTGAACAGCTGGAGGAGCGAGGTGACAGAAAAAACAGTCATTTCCTTTTTCCTGACAGAACATCAACATCTGAAGTCAAACTGAGAGTCCATCTTTCTGGTACGTCTAAAGTCTAACCTTGTTCTTGTATTTATAATAACTAAATGGAGGAATACAGGTGCGGAAAAAGCAAGAACAAAATGTGTTGTGGTCGTTTATCCATGTCTGAACAACAGTAGACCTAAAAAAATAACTGAATTAAAACAAAATCAGATTTTAGGTAGCTTTTGATCACCATTTTGATTTCATTCTGTTACCAAAGGGCAGGGTATGAGCTGTACTTGTTTCAAATGAATTGTTTTCAGTACATTTCAGTGTGTTTTTGGCGCTTTAAACTCTTGTAGATTAAACAAACGTCTTTAAAACTTGTTAAAATCTTCTTCATGAACATCTGTAACACTGACACAAATGATCCTTAATTACAAGCAAGAGATTTCATAGAAGACCTTTGCCTTTCCCAGCATGTACGAGTAAGCTTTACTGACAGAGAATCGTTCTATTGCTAAAACGTTAAGATTTGTAAAAAGGAACTGTCCTGACATGCTGGCAGGCTAACACTCCTTGAATTCCTCCCACCCAAACATCCCCTGCAGGTGAGTCAGACCAGAACGATGAAACAGGAAGAGGAAGGGGAGGTCGGGAAGAAGTGGATTCAAATATACGAGCGAGAGAACTTCAAGTAGGATTCAAGAAAGAGGAAGAAGAAGAGCGGGGCGAGGCATGCTCCGACACAGGTCATACCGTTGGTGGCGGCTGATTTGGCCTCTTCGATAGACTCATATTTGTCGGTGAGCTGTGTCCGCGTCAGACGGTGCTCCAGCTGCTCCTGCTCCAGACGCTGCTGCAGGGTCTTCAGCTTGTAGTTCAGGTCTATCTCCAGGTTGTTCTTTTCCTGTGAAGACGGCCAACAACATGAAGGCAAGCCAAAACACACAACTGACTTTGTTTTTTTTAATCTAATTAGCGATGCACAAAATAATAGCAATTTCTACATTTCACAGGTTGAAAGGACATTTGTATTTTGCACATTATCACTTCTTGTGTGTACCTTCTCCAGGTTGTTGCTCCTCTCCTGGGCCTGTTTGCGTTCTGACTCCACTTTAGTGAGGCTGTACTTCAAGTGTTTGTTGTCCTCTTGCAGCCCTGCCATCCTCGCTGAGAACAGATAATAAAGACATTTCACTTTCACTGTATTTATGATATGAAGTAGTGTTGTCACGATACCAACATTTTGGTTTCGATACCAAGTCAAGAATTGCGATTCCGATTCTTTTTCGAATATCCATCCATCTTCTCCCGCTTATCCGTGGTCGGGTCGCGGAGGTAGCAGTTCCATTTCTTTTTCGATACTTTTCTTTTATTATTTTCATGATCAATACAATTATAGTTGATCTGTTAAGTGTTTTCTTACAACATGGTCTCTTCTTTATACTTGAGTTTATGTGATTTCTTTGATAGTTCACTTTATATTTTATTAACATGTAATAGTACATTAATATAAATAATTATTGACCAAATGTACATTGCAGATGAGCATGATGTAATTATGTTATCTATCACATTCGCTAACCTGTCTGTCTTTAAATTCTTTAAACAGCTCTGGATGCTGTTGGGGCAGAACCTCTGCTCCGCGCGTTCCTCTATGACAGCCAACCCCAATTAGCGGCCCGCGGGCCAGATCCGGCCCGCGAGAGGCAAATGCATAGCCCACGCTGATCTACTGGCATTCACTTGTTATAACATAAAAACATAAAATAAAATGTCCGCGGTTTCGCTTTATTTTGACCTCCGTCGACACTTGTAAACCTGACCCATGACCTTATCGCGTGCATATGCAAGACGTGCTTCGCGCGCTTGACTTACTCGTCACCACCTGGAATAGCGGCAAACACATATAAACATTAGCTCGCCAGCTAGCCGCCTTTCATCCCAGCCCAGCGATTGACCAACATGACACTAACGGGCCGTGGATAACTCAAACCCAGGATGGAATTCGCTAAGAAGAGGAAGGTAGACCAGGAGAACCTTCAGTTCAAAACTGACTGGACTGAGAAGTATTGTTTTTTTTACCGGACCACGTCAATGCTAAACCGACTTGTTTGATTTGCATGCAGAATGTAGCTGTAATCAAATCAGACAACCTGAAGCGGCACTTCACCTCAATTCATGCNTTTGTTAGGGAAAAAAGCCTATATAAAAAGGTACAGTACAGCGCTGCACCATCAGTGTCTGATTTATTAAAACAACCTTGTAACTGAGAAACACTTAAATGCTAATTTAAGTGTTTCTCAGTTACAAGGTTGTTTTAATAAATCAGACACTGATGGTGCAGCGCTGTACTGTACCTTTTTATATAGGCTTTTTTCCCTAACAAATAGTTTTTGCGCTGATCAGGGGGTACTTGGCTGAATCTTTTTTCAAAGGGGGCACATTATTGAAAAAAGTTTGATAATCACTAGGGATGCAACGATACCATAAACTCACGGTACGATAATATTGCGATAAAAAGTCCACGATACGATATTTATCGCGATATTGAAAAATAAAGAAAAAAATGTGAATTCTTTTTTCTTTCTTTTTTTACTTGAATCTTTTTTCCTTTATTAAATAATAAATCTGATTTGTACAGCATTTTAGTAGGATAGTAGTATTTTAAAGTGTCAACAATATAATAATCAGACCCTGCAATAGAATAAATCAAGTTTCACTTTAGTTTTTCAAGTAACTCTAACTCACTCACTCACTCAGCATCATCAAGGTTATCTTTTAGGAATATGAGCATGTCCACATTTCCAGCTAGAAGCTGGGGTGTTTGGGCGTTTCCCCTGCTGTGGAAAAAACTCTCTTGCTTGGTACTGATGTTGCTGGGACAGAGAGATATGTTTTGGCCATGGGTAAAACTGTGCATTGTCTCTCCACCACTTTAAAAACTAACCTCTCTCTCGTGTCGTCCTTCCCCAGGTGAAGAATCTGCGGATACAGGGAGAACAGGAGTCGAGCAAGCGAGTCCAGTCTCAGAACGACCTGAAGAGCCGCTCGCAGGAAGTGGACCGGCTGCGGTGTTCAGAGAAACAGGTCAAACAGGAACTCAACACGGCGATGGAGAGCAAACGCTCGCTGGAGTTCCAACTGGCACAGCTGACCAAGTGAGTTCATCCGGCACTACAATCTAAAACAATTATAAAATGTATGACTTGTTTTTTCTTCCATTAAATGTAGCAAGTGCTGTCAATGCACTAACAACAATGCATTGTGTCTCCATGTAAATACTAAATGATCATCATTTGGGTTAGCTTCCTCGATTCTGCCACTTCCTGTTACTCTGAAATAAACTGGCAGTAGCTCCAGCCATGAGATCTAATGTTCTGTTGCTACAATGGCCAGTGAGCAGGGTGTCCGCGGGGTCTTAAAAAAGGTCTTGAAAGGTATTACATTTGACTTCAGGACTCCTGCATATACCCTGGTAATGCTCTTTGGGAGTCAAGGCGTGAATTGACCTGCAATTGCCTCTATTTGCAAATAAGCGCTATTATTCCAGCTTAGAGTGTGACTATGCCAAATCTGTTCTGCGGAGTGTTTACAATAAAGGATTAGGCTTTAAAGTCCAGCGCCACGCTCAGATGCTAATCTTCTGGCTACTGCTGCCGGTTGTACCTTTGTAAACACTGTTGTTAAGAATGTGCTGGATTGAAGGAATGAAAGTACTGAATGTATTTGGTTGATGTTTTAACAGACAATACAGAGGCAATGAGGGACAGATGAGGGAACTTCAGGACCAGCTTGAGGCCGAACAGTATTTTTCTGTAAGTATATACGCTTCCCAGGTGTCCGTGTCCTCTTTATGAAATGTGAAAGCCGACGACTAAACCGTTTGTCCTCCCTCAGACGCTTTACAAAACTCAGGTCAAGGAGCTAAAAGAGGAGATTGAGGAAAGGAACCGGCAGGTACAAGACACTCATAAAAAGGTGCAGGAGCTGTGCAGTGAAAGGTAAGAGACGCAATCATATTCACAGAATGCCTCAAGGCCATCACTTTATTGATGTTACCTCCCAAATATCAGTTTGACACATTGTTAAGAGCGTTTATCGGGGTGTTAGGATAACCAGCAGCTCTAAAAGGCATGCTTATTTGTTTTCTTTGTTTTTTTAACACATCAAACTTGTTTCATTTCCGTACAAAGGGACTCCCTGTCTGCCCAGCTGGATCTGACGGTGACCAAGGCCGAGTCAGAGCAGCTCGCCCGGGCTCTGCAGGAGGAGCAGTACTTTGAGCTCAGCCAGGAGAACAAGAAGGCCACAAGTAGACATAAGCAGGAGGTAGGGGAGAAGGAGTCTACTATTACACGGGTAAGCAAATCCAACATTTTTTGTATTTCCCTGCACAATACATATTATCTTAATTTATTGTCTCAATCCTTACCTGAACAAGTGATAATATGGACTTTTCCCTGCAGCTTGAGGACTCCAATAAAACTCTGACCAAAGATGTGGAGATCCTCAGCAAGGAGAAGTCGGACTTAAGTGAGAAGCTTGGCACTCAGAATGAAGGTACTGTCCCTAACTTTGTTGATCTTCACATCTCTTGTTACATTATGATAACCTTGTTAAGCGAGTCTCTCTTTCCTCGACAGAGTATGAAGCTCAGAAGGAAGAGATTGCAAATACAATCAAGGCCAACTATGAGAAGGTCCTGAACACAGAGCGCACACTGAAGACTCAGGTAAACACGCGGCCTTTTCACTCAGTTGTACACGCCAGTAAAGCGAGTGGGGAGTGGTGGCTGATGCTTTCCCTCTATCTGCCCACTTCAATATAAAGGCGGTGAACAAGCTGGCCGAGATCATGAACCGCAAGGACATGAAGCTGGACCACAAGAAGAAGGGCAGCACGGCCGACCTGCGGAAGAAGGAGAAGGAGAACCGCAAGCTTCAGCTGGATCTGAACCAGGAGAAGGATAAGTTCAACCACATGGCCATCAAGTACCAGAAGGAGTTGGGCGAGATGCAGGCGGTAAGTCAACGAGTGTCAGTATACAATAGTCCAGTACAGGGGTGTCCAAACGTTTTTCTCCGAGGGCCACGTACAGAAGAATCTACGAAGGGCTGGGCCACTCACTAGAGGTGAGGTATATTGGCTTATCAGTTAAGTTATAAGTTAGCGAATCAATCAAGTTTAAATAAATGATGCTTGATACTTGAAAATGCTTTAAGAAAAAAAACAGCCTACATCACAGCACTCCATAGGGTTTCATTTATTTTGATATAATACGGAGGCGTGTGGCGCAGTGGGTAGTGCGTTGGTGTTCGGATCATGGGAGCACAGGTTCAAACCAAGCCCCCAGGAAGTGTGCCAGACTCTGATGAAAATATTTGTTATGTCCAAACGGCGGTACTACAATTTCCGTATCAGTCCGTGACGTCACCTGGCCCAGAAAGACTTTTCCCCGTTGACTAACATTGGGAAAGAGACGTCTGTAAATCAGCGGATGCTTTTTTTTAAACTAAATAAACTACTCACTATGAACTATTTTATAGCCTTTATTGGAATCATTCGGTCCTTAAAGTTGTAAAATGCACTAAAAGCCGAATCTAGATTTATTTTCTGTCTCCATTCATTCTACTGAGCCGAGAGTGGGAGTTCGGGGGGCGGGGCTTAAGGGGCGCATGCTCTGTGAGCGCACATACGGGTTCTTCTGCTCTGACAGCTAGGCATGATGGGTAATCTGTGACGTTCCGCTCTCTCAAAAGTTGGGCCATTTTGCCTTCATGCGCCAATGAGCAGCTCTCATAGGAAAGAACGAGACCCCGCCTCCGACGCTGTATCCAGTTCTTATTATACATCCATGGTTCAAACCCCACTGCAGTCAGCATGTTGTTGTGTCCCTGAAGACACTTCACCCCAAATTGCTCCTGTGGGGAATGCCCACAGTATTGAGTATGTACGTCGCTTTGGATAAAACGCATCTAACATGTAATGTAATAATAAGAGGAAATATGAAGGGTACATTTCAAGCCTGTTATGTAAACAAGTTATTAGGCTTTTTTCTTATCATCTTAGATTTGTTGGAAAATGTTTTCTACTTTAATTAACTGCATTTATTTGGAAATTTGCTGATTAACACATGAATACTGTGTAATATATTTTTACATATATATTCAAGAAATACAAGCACAAGTTTCATTTGTGGGCCATATTTCATTATTCTTTTTTAATTAGCTGAGGGCCGATTCAAAATGGCCTGCGGGCCGCTTTTGCCCCCTGGGCCATAGTTTGGACACCCCTGGTCCAGTAAAAATAAAAAGAGACTCTATTATAAACCTCAATCTCATGGCTTTGATACCAACAGCAACTGACAGAGGAGTCCACGTATCGCAACGAGCTTCAAATGCAGCTGGACAGCAAGGAGAGCGACATCGAGCAGCTCCGGGAGAAACTGAACGACCTGCAGCTGCGCATGGACAACTCGAGCGTCACCAGCCTGCAGGCGGATGAGACGGACAGCAACCTCGCAGGTAGGGTCACCACAGACTGGACGATGATGCTGCCAATGTTACTTCACATCAGAAAGTCAAGTCCTAGATGCAGGAATCTTCAGCCGCCATTAAGTCTAAATAACGTTTTTTCATATCTTTCAAGGCATTGGTCTGGAAATCAAGTCTTATTGATACAAATCTAAACAATTAAAGCTTTAAAATGTTGGTGTTTGTTTACGGTTTCAGTTAGGTTTCACCGGTTGGACTGCAAATTCACCCACCAACTTCATGCGTCATTTGAATGAAAGCAACAGAGGCCCTCTTGTTTTTAAATATCACATTTTGATAAACATCATCCAAGATGTATTGGGTTGATAATGTGTATTCACCATTTCCTTGTTTTCAAATATGCGTAGATTTCTACAACTCCAGACTTGCCTGGTTTTGGTTACAATAGGTGCTACAATGTTCCTAAAAGAGTGTAATATGAAAAACTGAAACGGCTACTTTACCTTAAACGTAACGTCGAGTCAGATCAACAGACTGTGGTTTTTGGTTCACAAAGATGAGGAAGTCTTTCACGTTTAGTTTCTCTTCAATACTCACTGCTGTGTGATGATTAACAATTGTTCACAAGTCACTCCTCTAACACATGTTATTCACTATGTGTTGTTGTAGGTCTGTTTTCATATACAGTATGATGGTGCCTGTGGTTAAATCGTTCTCTCTTTATTTCCCTCATGTCCAGTCGGTTCCCTACTTATCTTTGTAACGTCTATTCCTTTGTCCTCTGTGAGTAACTGAGTGGACAAGCCCCTCTTGCCTGGCCTGTGCTGCAGCTGTTGTGTGTCTTTTTGCCCCCTGATATTTTTTTATTAAAGTATTCTTTTATCAGAGGTGATATTAAGGGGAACTCAACAAGACTTTTGAAAGAAGCCTGATGGAGTAGTTTGGAACATATCCTTCCCAATTGTCAAAAACAGTCTGACCTAGGGCTGTACGATATATCGTGTCGCGACGACAATCGCGATATGCACATGCGCGATATTCACGTTGCGTGGACGTGCAATGTTTTATTTATTTATTTATTTTTTATGACTTGCGATATTAAGTAGGCAAATCAACTCAAACACGTCATGTCACAATTATTTTGCTGCTTGCTAGAAAAGGAAAACTTGCGCGGCTCTCATGTCAGGGGTCCTTGAGTGAGTGACAGCAAACCACCAATCACAATCAAATCTCCAAAGCAAACGGACCCGGTGATTAAAAGGTAAAAACACTGAATAAAGTAGTTCCATGTGTTTCTCCAGGGCGGTTCGGCGCTGCTAACCGAGCTAGCTCAGCTTGTTGCTCTGAAGACTTAAGATCCAGACGTCCGTGACTAAAATCCTTCATCCGGTTAAATATAGTTAAAAAAATACCAATTGTATAGCATCAAAGTTCAAGAAAGGATGGTCTGTGGGAAAAAAAACTGTCTTTTCTTCAATTCCTGTATGTTTCATATCGCAATAATATATCGCAGGGGGGGGGGGAAATCGCAATGTCAGTTTTTTCCAGTATCGTGCAGCCCTAGTCTGACCAACATCATCTATAAGGCCTTTTTCAAGGGGGTGTAAAGCAAAGATGCTGGCAGTGAGGTTGCTAAATGTCACAATGTCAGCACCAACGGTAAAGTAACCACATCAGAGGTTACCATGTTACTAAACTCCGCCCCTTGTGAGGTTTACCGCCTTACACTCAGCACCTTTCAAAACACGTCTTAAAGCGGAAAAGGCTCTTTGAAGCTCATCATAGGGCTGTGTGCTTCGAAAGACTTGACACTTGTGTTTTTCAGCATGTTCACCTCGAAGCACTGCTCGTTTGGACACAAAGACCTCCCTCACAGTGCCACATTTATTCGAGAAGCCCCTCTTAGTTCACTCGTCCCATTTAACTTGTGTTGTTTTCAGCAGCATGCATTTGAAATGTATCATTTGAAATGTTTAAAAACCTGCATTGCGCATGGTTGTTTCTGTTAAAGGAGTGAGTGATTAAGGTCATGGAGTGTTAATAATCACTTATTCCTGCTTAAAGCTTCACCGTAATTTCAATTATTAAATCTTCCATGCTTTGCTAACTGTACCAGGGACGTTTATGTCTTCCTCCTGCATGGGGGGGGGGTGTGTATTAGCATCATGGGATATCTAAACTCTTAATCACCTACTCCAGAGCAGTCACATTGACACCTGCTGTTCTGAAACGATAATGGATTTTGTCATTTTTGTCTCCAGTTGAGTTTGGATTCAACCACTGCATGGCCTTTTTTCCAAAGTACATTCAATCAACTGAATACATTTTAAAGTTCTGTTTCATCCGGGCTGCTTTTTCAGAATCCAGATTGGAGGGTTGGCTGTCCATTCCGAACCGTGCTAATATCAAGCGTTACGGCTGGAAGAAGCAGGTATGTCGTGCTTTATTTGGCCTTTCCTCTGCGCACCTGCATTGTGTTGAAGTATGTCACGGAGTGTTAAGAATGCTGCAAACCCCTTGAGGGCAATATCCGCCTTCCTCTCATTGTTCTCTTAAATATTTCCAGTATGTGGTGGTGAGCAGCAAGAAGATTCTGTTCTACAATGATGAGCAGGATAAGGAACAGTCCAATCCCTCAATGGTACTAGATATCGAGTAAGTATTTATTTTGTCCTCCTTCATTTTATGCTGCATGAAAAGCAATTATCCTCCAGAAGTCGTGTTTCAGGTTACGGTTTTTTCTGGTATGAAATTAGGGCTGCTCAATTAATCGTATTTTAATCGCGATTATGATTATGGCTTGCAACGATTACGAAAACAACGTCATCGAAATAAAACGATTAAAACGATTATTTTTTTATTATTATTACTTTTTTTTTTTTTTTTTTTTGGGGGGTTTCAGGTAATAAACTGTTAAAAACATACTGTTCAAAAAAAAATTCTCCAATAAATGGAAGTTTTCGAAGTCAATGAATAATCGCATTTAATAATCGCAATTACAATTATTGACCCAAATAATCGAGATTATGATTTTTGCCATAATCGAGCAGCCCTATATGAAATGACTCATGTTGTTACTCCTTCCGCAGCAAACTGTTCCACGTGAGACCAGTCACACAAGGAGACGTGTACCGAGCCGAGACAGAAGAAATTCCAAGAATATTCCAGGTTGGATGCTCGAGATTTCTCTTAAATCCTCAAATTTGCAGTCTGCTTTCAAATGTTTGTTTTAGTGCAGATTTGTTTCACAGAGGCCTTTGCTATGCCTCAGAAATGTCTGTCTTGTGAGATTCCTTTGACGTACTCTTGTCTCGTTTCAGATTCTGTATGCCAATGAGGGAGAGTGCAGGAAGGAGGCGGACATGGAAACAGTCCCACAGGGCGACAAGACCAACTGTCTCCCACACAAAGGCCACGAGTTCATCCCCACGCTGTATCACTTCCCTTCCAACTGTGAGGCGTGCTCCAAGCCTCTGTGGCACGTCTTCAAGCCGCCTCCGGCCCTGGAGTGTCGCCGCTGCCACGTCAAGTGCCACAAAGACCACCTCGACAAAAAGGAGGACCTTATTGCTCCTTGCAAAGGTACAATCTTGGCGTTGTAGGCTGTTTTTCGAGAAGACAAGCTTACATAAACTCAATGTTTCAAGGTTCTTTCGTAAAAGCATTTGTGATTTCCCCAATGACTTTGGAAAGTGAAATGTGGCAAAATGGGTTACTTGCAGAATGTCCCCCGGTTTCTTGTAAATAAACAAAAGTGATGTTATGTTTACATACGGCAACCAACGACAGGGTTGTGTATCGTGTCACAGGCGTAAATATGAATCCTATTGCACAGGAATAACAAAACGGGGACGCACTAAATAAACTCTATTGTGCTCCTAGAATCCAAAACCTCCACAAAAAACGTTTGATATTACATAACACTACCACAATTGTAACAGTAATTGCACGTTATATGTTATGTATATTTGACTTCCTGTTCTTAATCGTACGTAACATTTATTTGGTTGTAGTAGCAGTGTCTTCAGTCCTTTTTTAAATGAATACAGTACAATGAAATACCATGAAGAAGAGCTTAAACAAGTAGTCCCTCGTATTTTATACATCACTGAATCTCTGGGGGTTTAGGCAAAACTAGCTATTTTTATATATCTTAGAGACCCTCCTTGTAATGGGGAGTAGTTTAGAGGTCGTATTTGTCCGAACTGACTCTGCATCACCCTGTGCTCTCCCCTGCAGTACACTACGATGTGACCTCTGCCCGGGACATGCTCCTGCTGGCCCTGACCCAGGATGAGCAGAAGAAATGGATTGGCCACCTTGGAAAGAAGATTCCCAAGACCCCACCATCCACATTTTCAAGAGCCTCACCTCGTACCATGTCCACTCGCTCCGGACCAAACCAGTCCTTCCGGAAGAACCCTAAAAGCAATACAGGAAAGCTGAGGTAACTTGAACAAATTGTGACCAATGTTTAGGCTTTTGAGACACAATAAGGCACTGTACTGTTGTTGTAGGCGGTAAGTGAGGGTGTGCTGCCGTCAGAAGTCTTATTAGTTCCCTTCTGGTGGGCTGAGATGTGGTCAAGTCAGTCGCGTGACCTGCTGTTTGTCCCCTGTGTTGTAGCAGAGCGCAGTCCAGCCTCCAAGCAGCAGACACAACATCCAGCACTTGTTGACAGGAACTTCTTCACAAAGTGTTGATTTTTAGATTTTTCTCTACAGCTTTAAAACCCGTCTATTTATTAATTGTGTAACTGGGTGTTTCTAACACGAGACACTTCCTGGTTGGTTGGTTGCTTGCTTGGTTGACTCCTGGGCTCTTTCCAGTAGACACTTGGGTTTTTTCTAATTGGCACTAATGTTTTGTCGGGTTCAGTAACTAACTCGTAGACTTACTATGCAACTCTTCCTGAGAATGATCCACGTTAAGGATTTTGACATTACCTGTTGAACATGAGGCAGTGGTGATAACGGTGTTGCAGTGTATGTTGACTTAGATTGGGATACTAACCAAGGCAAATATAATGTCGCTCTTTTACTGGACACCTGTCTCTGTTTTTTTTTTTGTTTCAGCTAACCATCTGAACCCTTTGGATTTTTTTCTGGACTCTAAACTTTCCCTCCTTCCTCATCCTCAAAAGAAAACAACTGGGATTCCTGAATTGCATAGAAAATTCATTAAAAAAGAAAATGTATATCGATAAATATCCAGCGCTGGAAGATTGCAACACATGTCAGACGCAAGGCATCATGGACAATAAGAGGCCTGATACCCACCTCCATCACCTTTCCACATACAGAAGAAACGTCAGTCAACTCAACAAACTTGCAGCTCTCCATTTCTACCAGAAGATGGCACACTCGTCTTGAAATAAAGATGGACAGTGGAGCGATGGAGGGACTCATGTCATGGAGACATACTGTGTTTAATGTTATATGACAGTTGTAATGGAAATGGGAAGGTTAATGGGGGTTTTGCTGGGACTCCTGCAAGTATGTGTTCAGTTTAAGGTACCGTCATACAGGGATTTGCAGATCTGCAGTGAGTGCTTGTGTCTTAAGGGTGGAAAAATGAATATCTATTTTATAATTTGTTTCCCCCTTCACACGACATATTCTCAAGCTAATGCAAGCATACTTCTGTTTTCAGGAACAAACAAAAAAAGACAGATGCCTTCTTGTCATATCTCTGGCCTTTTTGCCTTTATTCGTATCACTCTGCAAGTCACTTATCAGGTTTTGGACATTGGGACATAAAGTATTAGATGTTTTGAGTATTGAGTGAGGAGCATGCAAGATCATCATTTAAATCTATGCATTATTTTTATTATTATAATTATTTTTATTGCTCCAAGCCATAAGGAATATTCCATTGTAATGGCATATAGGAGTCTTAAAGCTTAATTGATTTTTTCTGTTTATTTGGTACATTGTCATTTTTTCTCGTATTGTTTTTTTTTTGTAATGTATTGCCTTACATTGATTCATAGATACATGGTTCAAAAGGAAAACATTAAGTTAACAAATGTAAAACTGCACTGTTTGAATTGTAAATTATTTGTAGACTAAACAGGTGTAGCATTTGGCCCACCTAGTGCCTTAACGTTTGGATATTGATTTTACTGCCATATCTGTTTTTCTTTTTTTCCTCCATAACAAGACAAATCTCAACTCTTCCATCATTTAGTTTTTTACGAAATTGCCACACGTGTGGTTTTATTGGAACATATTTTCTCTGGTTTGAATATATAAAATATATATATTAGATTTCCTCTTTACGGACACTTTGCAATAGAGTTGGCGTGTCAAAACAGAGTCCCTAGAATCAGTTCATATCATAAGACAAATTTCGGGATGGTGTACCTAAAGCGAGCCCACATGTGTCATTGATTGTCCTTGTTAACAATTACATGTTGTTTCTCTAACACGGTAATGTCCCGTTAATGCAAACCCCCTACAGTGTATATAATGAGAGACATGAGGATTATGGAATACCTCCGCAATCTTTTTATTTGTAACTTTGTGTTCAGTTAAAAAAAAAAGCACTGGAACTATGATCTATTCTTGTCTTGGATAATTTGCATGGTTAATTGCATTGAAGTCCGCACTGATGGATATGTCAATAAACATATCTTTATCATTCATTATAGTAGTTTTCACTACATATACCCACACACTGCACAGACATGTTATGAATCGATGTGTGCCCTCCATTAAGATTCATCCATCCATGGAGCATCAATAACAGGGATAAACAAACTCAGGTGAGTTTTTATATAATGCAGGGGATCACCTGCTAGGAATATTTAGGACTGAGCAAACCTCACTTACAATAGCCCTCCCATAAAGACTGTTATTAATATGCCTGACTGATCTGGGTGTGTGTAGTCTGGGAGCATTGCAAGCGGCAGGATTGCTAGTAGATTACAGCACGCATCGATAAATTCCCAGCGTGTTGTTGCAGCGTCATTCTGTTTGAATGAAGTTCAGACTGAGATCTAGCCAACTCTTCATTCGTGCCCCGGTGGATCGAAACAGGAAAAAACAAAGGGTTGAGGAAGTAAAAGGTTGCCTAATATGCCGGTGTATACAGGTAGGATAATGGATGAATACAACATATTCGTTGCCACTGGAAAATACTGGATAAACATGCACTCTTACACGTGTTTTAGTGCAGTAAATACATTTAGCATGCTAACTTTGCTAGTGTTAGCATGATATGCAGTTAGCATGCTAACGCTAGCAGGCAGTCTTTCAATCTTGTTAGGCCACTACTGGAGTTTTTATTATTATTCATAAAGTATTTAAAGACAGGGGGACATACAAAGGTGTAACGCTGCTAACGCCCTTTGTATGTGGAGTTTACATTATGAGTTTGGTTTAGCCGGAACTGCTAACTGACATCTGACAAACCAAAAAGCAGCTACTGTTGCTAAGTGCCAGCTAATGCTAGCTATGTTAACCAGGTAACAGTAAAGTAAGGTAGTTTAACAAGTTATTTAAATACATTGTATCTCGGCACAACCTTAAGATATTTATCTCGTATGTTTACGCAATGTAGTGCCGCCTTTTGATTTAACATCACGGATTTTACAATGTACAAAATCACGTCTAGCCTCGCTAACCAAGCTAGCCGAATCATGATTGTACACTTTAGAAACCCTTCACTGCAGTTGCAGCTTATTGGAGACAAACAAAGCCCACGGAACAGAATAGAGTTTACAATGTTAACATGATATCAATCTTATTTGGATTTCTAAAATGGCTGATCAACAGTTTTAATTAAGTGGACTGTCAGCCAAGTGGCGTTATATGTTTGCTTTCACTTTGTGCTTTTAGCTCAGTTGGACTGCAGCTATCTGGTTCCATGTAGCAGTTTAACCGTTACTGTTGCTAACTAGATGCTGTGTCATACATGGCAGCAGATTGACAAAGTCATGGTATTAACCTAACACTTACACTGACAGTCTAACGTATGCTTGTATACTATCCCTTGTCTTTTGTTTAGTAAATGTGAAATGGGGCAAAGAGAAGTTTGATGCAGTAGAGCTGAACACAGAGGAACCTCCCATGGTCTTCAAGGCTCAGCTCTTTGCCCTGTCAGGAGTTCAGCCCGACAGACAGAAGGTCATGGTGAAGGGAGGCACTCTGAAGGTACTGACAACGACAAAAACAACAACAACAACAACAACAGTCCTCTGGTTCTGTGTTGCATGTGAAGAAAATGTGTGCTGAAAGATTAGGGAATATTCCACTTTTTTCTTGTTTAGAAATTCCATAAAAAACATTCAACAATTGGTCCTACTTACAAGTATATCCTTTTTTAAGCCAGTGTATTCTAGACATCACATTGTTTTTCAAAACTATTAAAAAGCACAGACGATCCCTACCATTGTAAATGTTTACATGAACATCAAATGTGTGTTTATTATAGGGTGAAAATAGTAACTTTACTGCCGTTTGAATTGTGTTTGTTGAACACTATAATGCTCAGCTGTTAAACAAACGAGAACCACAACACACTGAGCATTAAATGAAACCTTGTGCGAAGAAGGCTGTGTGCCATGGACAGGGTAGCCAAGTTGGAAAGTATTAAGATATACTGATACGTTATTGTTTTAATTATTTTCATTCATTGTTTTTCACACCACGGCAATGTAAAAGATGTATTCTTTTAACTGTTATTAATAAGCTAACCAATGCTTCGTTTTATTCTAGGATGATGAATGGGGAAACATTAAACTTAAAAATGTGAGTATTTGGATCTGTTTCATTGCACATTACAAGCAATTCTAAGTTCACAGACCTATACTACTAAATGCATTTTGAACAAATAGGTCATTTATTTCTGTGTGTTTCTACTTTTTGTAGGGAATGACCCTCCTGATGATGGGCTCAGCAGAAGCCCTCCCTGAGGAGCCCGCCGTCCGGCCCATGTTTGTAGAAGACATGACTGAGGAGCAGCTGGCCTCAGCGGTGAGTAAGCCTCAAAATTACCAGCCTAAAACAAATATGGTGATTGGTGTTTTGCGCACCGACCCTGCCAGTTAAACATGCTTACCCCATGTGATGTTTACCAAGTAGACGATGTTATATATTAAATACACACTAATATGCACATATTGGGAAATCAGATTCACATCTTTGTTAAGAAATGGTCAGTTCCTCACAGCAAAGACCTGTTTGTTCACAGAAAACATTTTCTGTGACGATGCCAGCTTTGGTTTAAAACCAAACCGAAGACAGATCCCTTTTGTTTTATTTATGTATATGTTTTGTAAATTGTATTTTACATTCATAACAATGTAGAGGAACTCATCCGTCTTTGTTATTTTCAGTTGGAGTTGCCCTGTGGGCTGACGAACCTGGGCAACACCTGCTACATGAATGCCACAGTGCAGTGCCTGCGCTCTGTGCCAGAGCTCAAAACTGCACTTAGGAGGTGGGTCGAGCCTCATTTCAGAATGAATGCTTCAAAGCGGGCGTTTCCTATCCATCGTGGTTGTTTTGTGGCTCCTGCTGAAACCTTCTCTCTCCCTGTAGGTATGCAGGTGCTCTGCGATCTTCAGGAGCAAGTGCCCCATCCCAATACATCACGGCAGGTATGAGGCATAGTGCATTTTTAACCCTGTGAAATCATGGCAACTAATGGTTTCAACGCTAATATCTTTTATCGTTTCATCCTCAGCCCTTCGTGACTTGTATGAGACCATGGAGAAGACCTCCTCCAGCCTGCCACCCATCATTTTGCTGCAGTTCCTTCACATGGCCTTTCCACAGTTCGCTGAGAAGGGGGACCAGGGACAGTACCTCCAGCAGGTGAGAAACTTCACCACACTAACTAACATTCATTCAGCCATGCATCAAATCCTGTACCTGCATTTTTCTTTGAATCAACTTTATTTTGTTCTCTCAGGATGCCAACGAGTGCTGGCTGCAGATGATGAGAGTGCTTCAGCAGAAGTTGGAGCCACTAGAGCCCGAGACTCCCATGGAGGTAAAGTATTTCTCTTTTTTTCTTTACCCTGTGCGCTGAAGGCGTTGTTTGAATAACATGTTCCACTTTTGTCTTTTAAACATTTAGACCGAGTCTGAGAGCGCAGCTGCCTCTGCCTCCACGAAGAAGAACCTCATTGACCAGTACTTCGGTGTAGAATTCGAAACCTCGTATCCTTGCAGCTGCCTCCGTTCATCACTTTTTTTTATGTTAGTCCTTGTTCAGTATAGTTTGACTGGAAGGTTTGGTCGTTAACAGTGATGTGCAATGTCATAGTTAAAGTTAGACCCGAGAAATGTCTCCCTGCTGTCACACTACTCCTCTTGGCTTTTTCTTAACCCCCGTGTTCAGTATGAAATGCACAGAGGCTGAGGACGAGGAGCCAATCAAAGGCAAGGAAAACCAGCTCCAGCTCAGCTGCTTCATCAACCAAGAAGTCAAATACCTTGCAACAGGACTAAGACTGGTACGTTCCGGAACAGGAAGCTTTACGCTTTTTAAAATGCATCGAAACGGGAGCACAACGTTTTGTTCAAGAGTCTAGAGAGTCATGCGACCATGGCAACCTTACATTTAACTGTTCAGTCAAATAACTAAATAAAATACATAAGACAACTGGAGGGTGATTATTTTAGTTTCTAGAGGATTTAATTCTATTTTCTACTTTTTCTCTTTTCAGAGACTGCAGGAAGAAATCACAAAAATGTCTCCATCCTTGGAAAGAAATGCCATGTATATAAAATCTGTAAGTGTTTCTTTTTCCTTTACGCTTTCTTGGCCATTAACAGAAGTGGTAATGTCTACTCTTTATCTACAAACTCGATGTTAGTGTATGTTTACATTCTGAAATGTTTCCTACCTCTCCGCCTAGTCGAAACTCAGCCGTCTCCCTGCCTACTTGACTGTTCAAATGGTGCGGTTTTTCTACAAAGAGAAGGAGTCCGTCAATGCTAAAGTGCTTAAGGTCTGTACTGAGCCGTCACTATTGGTATTACTTACTTATCTGAAACGGGGACTGTTAACTAGAATTGAATGCAAAGTCTAAAGAAAGCAAAATGTTGTCTTATTGAAGGATGTCAAGTTCCCGCTCATGTTGGATGTCTACGAGCTGTGCACCGCGGAGGTCCAGGAGAAAATGCTCCCCATCAGGTCAAAGTTCAAGATGGTCGAGGACAAGAAGCTAGAGAATGCGCAGAAACAGGTAGAGCACATCTATAGCAACTTCTCTTGGTTAATTCTCTCTACCTTTCATGCTCAGCTTGGTAGCATGAAAGCTCCCACATGATCATATCTTGTAATGCCAGTTCTGGAGATTTACACACCATTTTCTTTTGTACATTAGGTGGTGAAGAAACCGGATGGAGTTGCAGAAAAAATGAAATATGAGCCCTTCTCCTTCCCTGATGGTATGTCTTTACACTAAGGGTGAAATACCCAAAGGAATCTTACCATGATGTTATGTAGACAATATCAGCATAAAGGGGAAAGGTGTGTGTCATCAAGGACTAGGGTAGCATATATTAGCATTTATATTTAGCGCTTTGAGCACCATGAAAAGCACTATATAAATAACATGTATTATTCATATTATATTCCAGGTTCTGGCACGGATGCTAAAGAATAAGAATCCCTTAATCAATATGGGTTTCTCTATCAAATGTAAACCGCTAAATAGGCACTTTTTTAACACCATAAGGGGAAATTGCTTTTAGCCGTCTGAAAAATCCGGTATTGCTGCCAAGAATCAGCGAAAAAAATATGTTGTCAAAAAGGCAGACAGTGATTCTTAATTTACTGAAAACTTTGAATTTACCAAAATGAAATGTCACGTCTCTAAAAGTGTTGAAATCCCTGCTACATTTTGTTGCATCAAACTCTGTTATCCATCTGTGATGTCACCTGAGGGTAGCTTATTTAAGGTCTGTTTGTGTCAATGGTTATCCACGGTTGGATGAGTTGTGACACGCTGCTGTTTCTCCCGCAGACCTGGGCTCCAACAACAGCGGCTACTACGACCTGCAGGCTGTGCTCACACACCAGGGCCGCTCCAGCTCCTCAGGCCACTACCTGGGCTGGGTCAAGAGGAAAGAAGGTGAGCGGGGCTGTTTCACACTGCACCACATTTAGTATATATATGTGACATATATATATATATATATATATAGTCATACAAGCCTAGAGGAAGCTAGACAGATGTTGAGGAACTTAAAGGTCAGCTATTATGCAAAATCTTTGTTCATGTCTTTTCTACATCAACATGTGTCCCCTCTGTGTCAAGAGATTCTGAAATTTTCAGGAAAAAAGATTCTCTCTCTTTTTGTCCTGATCCATTTCTATAAAAACCTGAATGAAAATGAGCTGGATCAGATTTTGGCCACTTGATGATGTCATAACGATGTTTGGCTGTGTAACCATTAGCCAATCACCACCAAGGTCCCCCCCCCCTCCTTATCACCTGAATCTCCTCCTAGAGCACCTTGTGTTCTTTTTAACCAAATATCTCGCAGAGGGGCGTGGCTCCTTATTTTCATCTAAAGTAAAAGTATCAGCACTTTGGAAACAGAGGGGATTATGGGATGCTGCAATGCACGATCTGTTTGGTATATATCTGAGACCTATAATATGTTGATGAGAAACAGTGTAATAGGGGACCTTTTAAATGTTTCCTGTGCTCTCTGCCTCAGATGAGTGGGTGAAGTTTGACGACGACAAGGTGAGCCTGGTCACCCCCGAGGACATCCTGCGGCTGTCCGGCGGGGGGGACTGGCATATAGCGTACGTTCTTCTGTACGGCCCCCGCAGGCTGGAAATCCTCCAAGAGGATCAGTAGCTGTGGAAGACATCCTCCAAGACAAAGACAACGAGTACAAAATGCCATTTCCAAGCACTGTCTGCATAGATGTGCAATAAAACTGGTGTCTTTAAAGATTTGATGACCTTAATTTTTTTTGTTTGTTTTTGTAACCAACACAGATGCTTGTAAAAAAACAAATTCTGTCAAAAGGTGTTAAATATTCAACTATAGTGGGCTTTAAAAATTGAGATTTGACGAGAGGCAATCTCTGGACTGGATCTTTGAAAGAGGACTTTCAGTCTAGCGCTGCAGTTTCATTAAATGTTTTATACACATTGTATATTTTTTAAAGCCTTTGCTAAGGTGCTCATATCATAAAAGCAAAATATTTCTCTTTAGTCATTTAATCAACGTGTACGAAATGCCTAGCCAAGCCGCTTGTCTGACATTCTGGCTTGTATCGTCTCAGATGTATTATGGAGGTTTTGACCTGCTGGGAAACTTGGGTTCAATCTCAGGTCTTTTCTTAAGTGCTTGGCTCACATCATCTCCTGGAATTGTTCTCAAATGTATTGACAGATGAGCTTCTTTCTGCCAAATCTTCACTAATGCTTTTTTGGGGGGGAAGTGTGTGGGGAACCGGTTTAGAACAGGTTGTCCTTGTGTTGAACTGTGTGTTTAAATAAAGACTTGAGATTCAACCGTGATGGTTTACTCCACCAGCCTTGAACATTGTTCGACACTGATTTCAGACTTCTTAAGAGGAGGCTACGCTTCGCTGCTCTTCTCAACAGCCCGCCACATGTTTAAGCCCTAACCATAAACACTCTGTAAGTTATTGACCGATTGCTTTTCATAGGTGGTGAAAATAAACTGTTATACCAAAATGTGAGGGTCTTTTATGTGAGAATAATGAATGATCATACAATGATTTATTAAAAAAAGAAAATTTATTGGATTCACAGTTAAAAAAACAGTACGCTTTAAACTATACTACATACAAAAATGTAAGTCTCCCACTGTTTTTGTTGTAAAAAAGATGCGGTGATCTCATGGAGGTACTGATTATTTAATTAGCGTAGAAGCTTAAGCCTCATTGAGGCAGTCAGCGATCTGGGAGAACCCTGCAGAGTTCAGAGCTGCCACCAGGCTCTCCACTGTAGCTTGGGCTCCCTCTCGGTCCTGCCAGGCCACCAGCAGCAGCTTGGCCTGCATGTCAACATCTTCACTATCGGTCTCGATCTCTCGCATCTCCGCCGCCTTCATCTCCAGATGAGACGCCAGAGCCTTCCACTCTGCGCCCAGTTTGGCTGCTAAGTCATCCATCTGCTGGTTGGTCACCATCTTGCTCTGTATGCTCGGACCTGGAACAAAGACACAATAGGGACGATAAAAATAGACTGAGTGGAAATGAGCTTCTAAGTGACAGGAGGCGATTTAATCATCACAATAGGACCTCAGTCAGAGAGGTCAAGATGGGGAATGTTGGATATGCATGCGTGTGAATATATCAATCTTAACCTTGTTGTAGAAACTTATAGATATGAATATAAACATGTATCATTGTGGGTGGGACCCTGAAAAAGACTTGAATAGTTTTCCAACTCACTGTCATTGCTGTCTTTGAGGAGGTTGTCTCCGTTATCATCATCATCCTCTTCTCCTGTCTTGATCTCTTCAGAGGGAATATCCTTCTGCACGCATCCAATCAAAAAACAGAATCAGTCTTTGCCAACAGTTTGAGAGCAGCATAAGGTCTTCTTTCTGAAGTCAAACTGAAGTCCTCACCGGCAGTTCTTTGGCCAGCTTGCTGACCATGCTGTCGAGGTAGTCTGCCAGGCTCTTGAACTTCTGATTGGTCGGTTGAAAGAAGTGAGGACTTCTCCTGGACAGCAGCCTCAGAGCGCGCCAGCCGTAGTTTGGGTTCCTCACGACCCTGTAATTATTGACAGCGACGAGCAGAAGAGTCACACAAACGCACACAGAGAGTGAACTGGGAATCGAGCCAGCAATGATCTTTCAATGAGGGGGGGCTCGTTCAAAATGTCTGATAAAACGCTCAACAGCGCAAACTTACTTGTACTCATCCTCCACCATGTTAGTAGGGTCGGCCTGTTCGATAGCCTCCGTAAAGAATTCGTCCAATGATGGCATGAACTCCCTGAATGAAAGAAATCAGATTAAAAAAACAAACTATTTTCAATATTTACAGAAAGGGAAATGTTTTGTTTTCTCGATGTACCTGCTGTCTGACTTGCAGGCATCCATGTTGTCGTGGTGCAGGTTCCACAGCCGAGTCAACTCATCACTAAGGAAACACAGAGGAGTGTGAGTTATGTATACTGACCTACTGCATATTATTACAGTGTTTCAAACTGAGGCAGACTACTACACCACTCCTGGATTAGATCACGTACTTTCCCATAAATATCTTGGCGTCCGGCCCTTTCCCGAGGAAGTCTTCTGGGGCTTGTCTTTTCCTCGTGGGTCTTTTGGGTTTGTCATCGACTGTCCTGTTGAAGAGAAGTGGAACCAACTGTCACTGTGCCAGCCTACACCAAGCTCACACAACACTACATGTTGTCGTAATAATGGATGAATGAAGGCATTTCAATAATGATCTTCTCTACCTTTCTTTCACAAAGCTCGGGCAGCCCTCATTTTTCCAGCCGTTCCAGTTCTCCTCTGTGTTGAGGATATGCTGTCAAGAAGAACGTTTTCTCGCGTCACTCGTGAACTCTTACAACAAACCTCATTTAATATTGAATTATAGTTTTCCAAAAGCATGGCTTACCTCCACCATGGTGGCAAACTTGTCTCCATCAGGAGGGATCTCTTTCAGCAGCTGCGAGACAACACTCACAGATCACTATACTTGTCTCTTGACGCCATGAAACTATATCTCAGAAGCTTATTAAATGGAAACAGTGTCATCAGTTTTGCTAGATATCGCTGGATAGAATAATGTTTGTCAGCGTGATTTAGGACTGACCTGATAAACCAGCTTAGTCGTCTCCTCGATCCACGCGCTCTGGTCATCGTGCAGAACACAGCTGGAGCTGTTTAGGATAAAGATAGAACACGTTATGAATCCTATGATGACTTTTGTGGAATCTTTTGTTTTTAAGGTCCGAGCAGAGACATGCTTTACCTCTTGAACTTGACCTGACCCTTCAGGTACTGGAAGAGGATGAGGTACTGCAGCAAGATGTGCCGCCGGAAGTTACTGTCGCTGAGCTGCAAGTCCATCAGCTGGAGAGGAAGAGCGAAACAGAAAAGTGAGGTCGTGTCCAACACAGATCGCATTACCACAAATTAACATATTCAAGTCGAAGGCAACCAGTGATACTAAATAACCTTTCTGTTTGATATGGTATGGACACATTGTGAAGTCACCTTCCTACAGAACTAAGTAGTACCAACATAATACACTAATTAACCCTACTGTGTGAGCCCGTTGTTTACGAAGTGGAAACAACGATCAAAATGTGAATTCATTAAGAATGTGAAGAAGATGGTGAAAAGTCTGAATCTGCAATCCCAGGTTGTTATGGCAACATCTTGACAGCCTAATGCCGTGTGATGAGACCAGACCAAGTGGGTAGTGGTCGTGATGGAACTGGAAATAGAATCCCCGGCTGTGAATCTGTCCAAATAAACCCTTGTATCAAATGTTCACTGCCTTTAGAAAGAAATGCCTAACTTTGGGATTCCTTTTGTTTGTTTAGTATGAACTTGATCACGGTTAAGGGATCATAACAATGACTTCTGGGCCTAAAAGCTTGTTTTCTCACCTTCTCATTGGTTAGAAACTTGGCGAAGTAGACGTCTTCTCCAGATGCCCTCAGCTCTTCCAGCTTTCTCTTAGAGGCCTGCATGTCATCCAACTTAAAGCTCTTGAACACGGCCAATGTCTCTTCGGAGAACTGTGCGGGACAAAAAGACATTTACATCGGAAGTTGCTTCTAAGCTTTAAAAACGGAGAGCAAGGAAGGCAAGTTATTGAATTACCTTAAGGAATGTCATCCAGGAGAATTTATCGTAACACTGCACAGGGTTTCTGAAGTAGTCCTGCAGAGTCCAGAACTTTCTGTACAAGTTGTAGTCAATAGGAATGGAGCTGAAAGGAACAATAGGGTTACGGTCACTTTTTCTAAACCTAGAAACAGACACATGTCATTTAAATACATATTGTGTTATTGCGTATTAAAGAGCTTACCATGGTGCAGGAGCATCATCCTCTCCCATTTCTCCTTCCTCCACCTCCATGCCATCTTCCTTTTCTTCTGTGTGCTATAACCATGGAAACAACTAAATCAGTTTAAACACAATTTCCACATAAAATAGAACATTTGAACAGTCATTATGAGGCTTTAACACTTTACCTTCAGGCCGAGAGTGCTTTCTTGTTCGTTTTTGTTGAACACTGTTATATTTTCCAGATTAAACTGGCTCTGCAGATTGAGACCTGGAAAAGACAAATAGAAAAGCATTATATAAAGACATCATAAACGATGCTATAAGTAACATCTATGAGTAGTTCAGTTGTTTGGTTCATTCAAAGATCATCATCTACACAAACGCTGTTTACCTGATTTCTCCGACAGAGGGAAGAGACGTGCCAGGAAAAGCTGGATTCGCCCACAGAAGACGGTATTCTGGGATTTGGACAGCCTTCTTAAAAGATCTACAGAGATTAAGAGGTGTGTTATAAAACGCGATCACATTGAAACATCTTCAACAAGAAGGAACAACTATCCTCACCGTTACACATCCGCAGCAAGTAGTTCTTCCCAGCAGTGTAGAAGGAGTTCTAGTAGAATGATAAAATAGGAGAGTACATTAAATGATCTACGCTGAATAACTGCTGCATTACGTTTAATGGAGGCTTTTATTTTTACCGATTTCCAGGTGGAAACATTCTTCTCAACAAAAGAAAAGATTCTGTCACATTGGTCGAGAGGAAGACAGTCCAGCACGTCTCCCAGCAGAAGGAAAGGAGTTGTAGCAGAACAGATGCCTACATGAAGAGAGGAGGGAAAGCATGATTAAACATCTTAAGCTTTGTGCAAAGTTTCAAAGCTTGCATCAAAGACTGAAGGAACATTGTGTTACAGTTTGTGTGTAGTCAAAACACAGCAGCAACCATATTAGGACAGGAATAGCAGCAGTCAAATCTAAACATGTTATAACACCGGAGCAGCAGGGCCAGGTAAGGGACATTTATACAGTGTTTTGGGACTTGAATCACTAAAGTCACTAACATACAATAGAGCCCGGTAAAGTAATGCCATAAAAAAACAATATTCAATCCTTTAAAATGTATATATTGTAATGTCTACATTTTCTTTCATCTCTCTGTTGATTATGAAGGTACATAGTATTGTGTGTCTGTTTGAAAGAAAGCTGCTGAAAGTTGAGTTAAAACAGGCGGTTAATACTTCTTTCTGAGTGTTTTGTAACAACATGCCGTGTGGGCAATTTTAATAGTTAGAAACAAAACAAGTATTCTGTAATTCACAAGCCAAAAATACACAGTCACAAACCTTCTGTAACTGCATCAATACTCAGGTAGATCAGAGACAGGTATTCATCACAGTTGGCCTTCTGCTCAACCTGAAGACAACAACAACAACAACAACAAGAACAATGTCTAGTTTATACACATCCTGTATCGTATATTAGGATCTATTTGAATGTAATAGATCCTATTTTACTTACAATCTGATCACCAAGAACCCCCCTCAGCGCCTGGTCAAATGTGGTCTTCTTTTCTGCCTCACTATGAAACACAAGGAACATTTAACAGTTATATTAAAAGGACATTTCATTGATGTAGTCATAACATCTACAGAGATAAACGTTACTTACTGTCCAGGAAACTGGTTGAAAGCATTTACCAAAGGTTTGCTAGTTTTACCAATTAGTGCATTTCTGGCAGACGCCTGTTGGTGAAGAGAACATGTATGTTAGATATCGTTTTGTTAGCTTAGCTTAGCATTTGCTCCATGCTATGATAACATTAGTTAGCTAACAGAACAAGCAGTGACACGCCTGTTACGTAGCTATGGTGTAAATTACGGCATATAGCATAACATAAAACTCCATTCAAGGAAGAAAAGTGATTATTCTCACCGTAAATTTGTCTTTAGCGTCCACAAAATTAAATAAGGAAGGCGACATCTTTACACCGTTGCAACCGGAAGTGCCACTGAACATCCGGTTTCTTCTTCTTCTTCTCTTGGTTTTTGGCAGATTGCAAACAACTTTAAGGTGCATACCACCACCTACTGTACAAGGGTGTGTATCACCATATCATCCTATCACCACTTGTGGAATTATATCACTGTGTTTACGTCGTTTTAAATTCTTCCAATCAATCCATAAATCAATAAATCCCGTTTCACTGAAATACTTAAGAATGGCCTTCCTGGTAGCTCTTACCCCCTCACCTTCTGTTCCCCATATCCCCATCAGGCTCCACTCCCTTCCTGCCTCTCTGACCCTGTCTCTTCGTTTTCCCCTCTCTGTTTTGTACATGTTGCAGAGTAATAGGATGTGTTCCACATTTTCTTTCACTCCACACCCCCTGCTTTCTTCAACTTCACTTTTTCCCATCATAAACAATGTGCCGTTTAATCCTGTATGATCCAATCTGAGTCTAGTGATGAGGATTTCCTCCCGTCTGTTCCTTTCTGTATAGACCTTTGTTATGACTGATTTCTGTAACTTGTGTTTTGTCGTCGATCACGTTTGTCTTTATTTTAACAAAGACATAAAAACGTAACTATGTGTTTTCTTATAATCTACTATGATAAATTACACTATGATAAATACATCCAATAAAAAACATTAATTTTTATGAGCAAGTAAACTGAATGTTGTCATTTCAAATGTTTTTTGTTTAATATAACAGCTCAGTTGTTTTTAGATTAAACACTGCTAATATTGAGTCTGAATAGCATTAATGTTCTCAGATCATCTAGATCATATTGAGCACACTTGAAGGAATATCATGATATAAAAATATAAAAATATATAAAATAGAGGATTAATTAGTCTGCATGCAGACTTTAATACATTTTAGACCAGAGGGTGTCAGTGTTGCACACTATTTGTGTCCGTTATGTTGAAGCGTTCAGACCATGCACTGTGTGTGCGTGCGTGTGTGTGCGTGTGTGTGTGTGTGTGTGTGTGTGTGTGTGTGTGTGTGAGTGAGTGAGTGTGAGTGGACGCTTTGTGCCTATGTCAGGAAAATCTGAAATCCACCCTTTCCTGATGATAATCCCTGTACAATTTTACGTAACATCGGCGTGCAGACTGACATAAATGCATGTCTATTTAATGTTGCTCACTCATTAGAATTATTGTAAAAAAAACCTTCACTTATTAATTGTTGGTCCCATGATGTTATGTTTTATTTCTCCTTGGTGGTTAGGGACATTGCTTGCCTGTAGCCTTTGTGAGCAGGCTTCACAGCTAACATACTCATGTTTTTTGCTTCTGTGTTTGTGTGTGCACACTTCTGTGATATGGTTGTACAATTTAAATCAGTTTAATAAACTACAGAGCTGCAGGGCCTGCTTTTTTGAAGATTTACAGTAGGCTACAGTTCAACAATGTCACAAAGCACATAGGACCAGCAGAGCATTACACTGAGATGGCAATCATTAAATGGCCAATCCATCCTTCCTGGTATATCATTCACATACAGAATCGTTTAAAAAAAAAACAATTTGCTAGGTCAAGTTGGACATGTGTGGGGTTTTTTCCAGAATCAAAGTCAGACTTTACTTTCATATTACATGAGCACAAGGAATGTGTCTGTTATATTTACAATTACTATTGAGTTAAGCAAATTGTTGTTGCTATGCTTTAAATCACATTTTAACCCTTAGATGCATAAGTGGTTCTTTTTGGGCCCGGTGAGGTGGTTTTCTTGAAGCGTCTTTGTAATTACATTTTTTTATCATTTCATATTCCAGCTATTCCTCAAAAAACATGTTTTGGATATCATGCCATTCAAATTTTTAATTTAAATGTTATGCATTTGGAGAAATTGTAGTTTTTGTATTACTACCCCAAGCTTCCATGAGTGAGTCTTTTTGGACCCGGTGAGGTGGTTTTCTTGAAGTATCTTTGTAATTACATTTTTTTATCATTTCATATTCCAGCTATTCCTCAAAAAACATGCTTTGGATATCATGCCATTCACATTTTAAATTTACATTTTAAGAAATTGTATTTTTGTATTACTACCCCAATAATATGTTCAGAACGTTTTTTTTCAAAATGTAAAAAAAATGTCTAAAATTATAAATTGTGAAAAATTAAGTATAAAATATTTCTAATGTGAACCAAAATATAATACTAAATATTATACAAGTGATTTCTCTTAACCAAAATGATAAAAATGGCATAAAAACACATATTATTCTAATACGGGTTCTTTTAGACCCACTTATGGAAGAGTGTAGGGTCCAGTCACTTGTGCATCTAAATTAATGAATTATAGAGCAATAACAGGTTTCATTATTTTTTTGTATTGTTGGTGGTGAGGTTAGCCTTTGGTTTTCATGAATCCCAGACTATGCTTTTAACTTTGACAGAACCAATGGGAACACTGTGTTTTGATCTGTGTTTGTTTACCAAGCAGTTTCGGGTCAGGGCCTCTGTAGTAGATTGTAGAAGTGGGACCATTCACCTTCTGCACCATCTGACAAGCGTTTATCCCTGCCGTCACAAACACTGTTAACTGCACCTAAAAGTCTTGAGCCAAAGTTTTTAGAAAAATACCAAGGTTGTGAAAACGTACTGTATGTCAGTGGAGTCATCTAGAAAGAGCTGAGGGAATCATATCATCATGTCTGTATGAGCGCAGTAGTCATGAGTAGACGAAGTGAGAACTGTTTTTTCCTGCGGTTTTGATTGGCACCTTGTTTTTTAAACGCGGAGTTCTGCACGTAGTTCCAAAGATATATAACTGTGCCCCAACCCCCCACAGGCCCTTTTTCTGACACATAGTTTATTTAACTTCTGCCAAAAAGTGATGAAAAGCAGAGAGGGCGTGAGCGTGGCAAGTAGCTTACAGATAAGGGCCCAGCATCAGAAACTATGTTGAGACAGGGGGGTAGGGTTACAAATGTTAAGAGAAGATACTCCGTGTTCTGCTAAGCAAGTCAATGTATGGAGGTGTCACTCCATTGTTCTTTTTTTTTTTTTACAATATGTTCCATAAAAAAAAACAAGCAAACAATATCTTAGTCTGTCTCCTAAGGTTTTTGGTGCCCATGTTCCTTCTGCAGACTTAAGTCCTGTAGAGCAGGACATACATAGTTTTGTTTTTAAAAAGGCTTGGTTTCTAAAACAACTGTTCACTGGAGCGTTCAGCAAATATTACTCAAACTGAAGTAAATTGTATTTGTGCAGGAATAATTGCATTCTCGGTTAATACACATTTGAATAGCTAGTTATTTCTGTACTGCACTAGGACAGTGTTTGTGCAATTTGACTGGAAATAAGCTACAATGACATGTTCATTGTAATAAAGGAACATGACAGTGTGGCTCATTGAGGTGTTTTCCATTGTTTAAAGTATGTTGCACAGAGGAATTTATTTCATGCTTTGGCTGTAGGTTCAATTCATTGATGGGTTGCATCTTTTTTTGTATCAAAGAAGCCTTTGAGAATGTACAGGAAATGTGTTAGACAGGCAATTTTTTTGTGTTGAGTATAATTACATCACTCTGAAAGCAGGTTAAGCCTTCATTCCCAATTGTTTATTGTGTCTAGATAACTATAATGAGAGCACCAGTGAACACTCTTTCATGCCAAATCATGGAATAATCAAGCACAACATGAGAGCCAAAATAATTTGATGAAGGATGGTCTCAGACAAAATGACTGAAGGGCAACAAAAAGAACATTGTCCATGTTGTTGAGGACAAACTTCAAAACAAGAGGCTAAACACAATGCCCTGACCTCTGAGGTTGAGCAAACAAAGAGTGGAGATTTTAGATTGGCCACTGTCACATGACCAGCCGCTGAAATCCCACCATAAAAATCCATGTGAAGAAGAGTTGAGTCGTATAAGAGAGATAAACCCAAGCGCGGTTATCATTCATTGATGCATTTAATAGCATTATGCACGTTAGTAGGTTTATGAGGAGGCAAACTGACACAGTTATAATTATATTCACTGGTGCAGAGAAATATTCCTCTTTGAAAGGAGGAAAGCCATGAAGAATTATATATTTAGTGAGAGTATCTTTATTCGGATTGTTGCACTGCATACTTTTGTTCCTTGTTACAGAAGGAAGTCATAGATAAGAGCTGCTGCTATGCCTCCGAACATTGGCCCCAGCAAGTCCACCTGGAATGAAAGCAGAGATCTGCTACATTTGTCTTTGACAAAGTGAAATGAGATTTTAGAGAAAAAAAAGCTTCAAATAGTTTAGTGATATTAGCCATGGGTCATCCATTTCACTTCTTATCAGAGCTGTTTCAAAGGAGCAGGCAGGATTCATACCACATCTACTGAAACTCATCTGCAAATTGTATTCACAGAACGGAATCATTCTTAGCGGTAATATGTAGTATGCTTATACATGTAAACAATATTGAAATCAGGACAGCAGAAAGCCTACACATCTTGCGGCGCAGACTGAAAACTCATCTCTTTCAACTCCACTTCGAGCAATAAAATTACTAACAAATTATTACCAACAGAGCACTTATATACTAATAAAGGACTGGCTTATCTAAAGCCAGTTGAGTAGCACTTGAAATGTTTTGGCTCTATGAAACCTGATGTACTTATATGATTCTGTTTTCTTCAAGTTTGTATCTTCTTGGTCGAATGCACTTATTGTAAGTCACTTTGGATAAAAGCATCAGCTAAATGCAATGTAATGCAGCCCATTCCTGCAATCAAAATGTAACATGCAGTACAATCAAATACAGGTTTTTTACATGCATGATTTTTGTTTTAATTAACCAAAACTATTTAGATTTTTTCCCCCATTGGTGTTATATACACTAACTCCAAGTATTTGTTTTGGTTTTAAAGTTGTTCATGCCCTTATCATGACATCTGTTCTCCTTTGTAAAGCACCTTTCCTGTGTTTAAGATATGCTGTAATGATTTTCAAAACCCTTTTCAAGTCCACTTTAAATGAATATGTTAGTTTTGGCACCAGCAATGTAGGCGGTGACCCCCTTTGTACCGCTGTAGGACTGACGTTGCCAGGAAAATACCCCTCCAAAAAGACACACACACACACACACACACACACACACACACACACACACACACACACACGACACACCCACACACACACACACACACACACACAACACACACCACACACAACCCAACACAACACACTCACACACACACACACCACACACACATCACAACAACAATGACACTTGAGTAGCTATTGCTGCAACTGGATTTGCTGCCTCGGCTTCCTGAAACTGGCTGGCACACACCACTGCTAAATTATGCAACATGGCATGGAGGAGCACATCTCGAAGGCTCGACAATTCCTGCCAACCACAAGAAAGTGTAACGGGCAAAGAAACAGTGATCTTCATGGTCTGATCTCACCAACACTGACGGGCAAGGATATGCACTTCACAACACTGCTTCACAAATGTATCAAGCAGTCTTAGCACAAACATCTTCAGCATATTGAATACTTAGTGGTTTGAGTTAGTGGTTTAACTTGCCCACCCTTTAAATAAAACCAGGTTTTGTTACCACATACGTGTATCTAACTTTTAATTTCAAGACATTCAAAAAGGTCACTACTGCCTTTCATGTACAAAAGTATTTTCTATTTCAATGCCAAAATGCTCCCTTGATCATTTATGTGATATCCTCATGAAAGGGTTCACCGACGTACATTTATGTTTTGGCACAGCAGAAGAGGACTTGTGTTTTCTCTTCTGTAGGACTCTCTTTCTAGGTGCTCAGTAGAAAATCAGCCCTTCAGAAGAAGAAACACCAGTCATGGTTCTGCTGCACTGAAACACAAAATAAATGGCGAGAACCGCTCTGTTCACACTTTCATCACTGTAATCATCATATTTACATCAACATAGCACTTTTGGCCCAATTGTCATCAAAAGACTCCTGTACATGAATTGGCAGTGACCCAGGTTGATTGTGCTGCATCAAAATGTTAGCATGACACGTCTGTGGTAGACAAAACCACATGGTTTATTGAGGGTGGGCAAGTTCACACCGACACTTCATACACTCATATATTTCTATAATGTGTATGTCTTTGTTGTGCTGTATGAATGGCTGGACACATTTCATTTGAAGCACCAGTGTTGTGAGGCATATCGTGCTCAGGTCAGTGTTGGCCTTTGAGATCAGCATGAATCTTTTGATTTTCGTTTGCCTTAACTCCATTTGTAGGCCAGAATTGTCGAGCTTCGAAAATAGAGTACCTCCACCTGCCATTTTGCTTAAGGTTAGCAGTGTTTGGCTATCACCCCAGCATGTTCAGCAATGCCGCGGCAAAGTCCTGCTCGCAATAGTGAAATCCAAGTGTCATGTCTTGTGTCGGTGTGTGCTGTCATCGTCGTGAGTGTGACCGTCTGGTGTGTGTGTGCTGTGAGTGTCACACGCTGTGTGTGTTTGTGTATTTCTATTGTGGAGCTGTGTGAGTGTGAGTGTCTGTGTCTGTTTCCGTGTACGTGTGTGTGTGTATATGTTTGTGTGTGTGTACCTTTTTGGCTCGTACTTCCTGCGGCACCTTCAGTCCTACAGTGGTCAAACGGTCACCGACTACATTGCTGTGCAACTGAGTATACAAGAGTGGACCTGAAAAGGCGTTATTGACAATGATTACAGCAATATTCTTAGAACACACGAAACAGTATGGCTTACAAGGAGACAGATGTCTGGCTGAAGGACTTGAACAACTTTAGCACCCAATCATACGTGGAGCTCCTGTTAGTTACCACCTAATGGAGACTGTTACTAGAATGCAAATAGGTTTTGGTTTAAACCAAGTCATCTTTGAGTGTCTAGACCCTGTATTGACTGTATGCATGTTACATATTGCACTGCAGGCACTGGTGCATACATCTGCATTATGTGAGGCTGACACGGTTGGTTATCGACAGCGAGCTGCTTACAAGGTCAGTGCTCCGAATTCGGTGCTAAAAGATACAAACTTGACGAAAACGGAATCATATAAAACATTATATTTTCAGTTTGGCTTCGACTCGTTTGATAACAAGAACAGTTCAATTTGGCAATGGATGAGTGTATAGTTTGGTGATGTCTTGGAGAGAAATAAATCCTTCAAAGAGGTGGACGTTACTTTTTATTCTAATCACATTTGGTTTAATTCAAGGTTGTTATTTTCTAATCTTTTGGTAAAGATCTACACAGGGTGGAGGGGCTGCGGGACATGGGATCATGCACCTTTCAGATTCATTGCCCTATTGTATTATAAACTGTAATCTGGAGCAGGTCAAAGAAACACGTTTATTGGAGATTAAATAATTTACTGAATATTATGAGGAGCCAAAATGAAGAGACAGGATATCACTGAGTACTTGGAACAAAAGGATAATGGCTGAAGTTCCCCTCCAGACTGTGGCATGCAAATGTAAAGCTGTGCTTCGAGGGAGATAATTGGATACAGAGCTCGCTTTAAAGGCAAGCAAAAGAGTTAGATAAGTTACAAGTGAGAATTAACAATTGGTAAAATCATATTTTTATCTATATTTTTTCTAACCTGTGTATCCTTGTGACTAATTTGTTATTTTGTTGTTTGTGTTCCATTCTAAAGCGTCCTTGGGTCTCTTGAAAGGCACTAAAAAATAACAAATGATTATTATTATTTATTATAAAGACTCAAATGATCAGATAATAAGGGACTGCACACAAAGAAAGATAATGAAATAATGAGGATGTACATTAAGATGTACAAAAAAAAAGTAATTGTTCCAAAACGAATACTATGAAGGACGAGAAAAGCCAGTCAATATAGCCTTTACAGGGACTGTCTCAGAAAATTTGAATTATTGTATAAAGTCTTTATTTTTCTGTTAATGCAATTAAAAAAAACAAAATGCATACATTCTGGATTCATTACATCAACTGAAATATTGCAAGCTTTTTTATTTTAATGCATTGTTCTTTATCAGGATTGTTGAGACTCAGAACTTGGCGCCATGGCACAGAAACACAGATTATGATTGAAGGATTATACCGTTCATTGATGTCCTATAG